GGGGGGGGGGGTTGAAGGACAGCGGGCCCTCGGGGCGGTTTTGAATTTTGGGGTTTGGTGCTTGGGGCTTTGGGGGGGGGGGAGTACCCACCTGCTCAGTTTCTGAGGGACATGTTGCTGGAGTGGGAGGGAGGGAGAGATAGAGGAGAAAACAAGAGAGAAATGTGGTATAAAATAGAGTAGTTAGCGACAGAAGTTGGACAGTGAAGTTTTGTGCAGAGCAGTTGCCAGTTGGGGAGAGAGAGACAAAATCCACAGGGGACTTCCCTGAAAGAAAAGAAATGAGGGCCCAGAGAGAAGACATCTTCATCAAGGTGTCAACCCTGGAGTGGACATGGCTGAGGCCAACTTGGAGGCTTCGGAGTTGCCACAAAACAGAGGGAGGGTGGAGATAGTTAGATGAGGTTTTGTAGCCAAAACAATAAAGCTTTCCTGTGGGAATCAAGGACATTCTCACAGATGGTTGGCCAGAGGAGGAGTGAAGTAACCAAGCAACCAGCCAGCACCTGGATTGGACAGTGTGACCAGTGACTTGGGGAAAATGAGGAACTTTTATTTTTAATTGGGTGAAAGCCATGGGAATTTTTAGAGTTGACTTTCACCAGTTGTGCCAATATGATGTTCTTTGAGGAATTTGCCTGCCTCAGAGTTCTACTTTCTATGGGTGCATTACTTGGAACCCTGACACAAGGCTCAAAGTAGGAAGTAAGAGGTTCGTGGGTTATTGGCAAAGCCCTCTGAGGAAGGACTGATAGGTAGAGGATCCTGAGAAAGGTTCTTTTACCAGTGGAGTAGTAGTACTGTAGCTGAGTAGATCCAGAAGAAAGTCAAGCCATACTGAGCACATTACAGTAAATCCAGCCCATTCCTTTATTTTCATTCTTTCTTGGTAACCCCAGAAAAGGGGAAGGAAGCAGGAGAGCTAGAGGGAGGGGGTCATCTCTCTTACTGTAGGTAGTGAAGGAGGAGAGAGGGAGACTAGGAGGAAACCTGACATTGGGGAGAACACTGAAAAGGTCTGTATATATCTGCTGTAAATAACTGCTATAAATGCCTTCACTGTAAATAGTAAAAAAGCATAAAGCTTTTTCTGTGTGCCATCTCCACCTCCAGTTGTAAAAGAACCCCATGACACTGTGACATAAATAAAAAAGATAATAACTACAAATAGCCATGCCACATCACATCAATTATCTATTTGGCCTTGATTCTGCAAACCAGCAAAAAACCAAGCCGGGAAAGAAGGCCCTTATTTCAACATGAATGGGAAATGTAAACAAACAAGACAGCAAACAGCAGAGAAGAGTATAAATGTAGTTGTTATGATCATAGTAGACTTTAAAGGTTAATGAAAAAAGGGGGGCAAAGCATTTTATAAAAGGGGTTGGAAAGATATTGAACAATGGATAACTCCATACATTTTATGATCTGTTAATTGCATGTGCTTACTTATTTCTTTAATTGTGTTGGTTAAGATGGGCAATTTTTCTCATACAAAACCAAAGCTACAATGATATATAGAATGAGATATGTAACTCCTAATTGCTCACCATTTAGATAATGTACTGGTGAAGATCATTAATCAAACTATTCATATATATGTTATAATCTATTAGCATTTGAAAATATGAACGAATGAGAATTCCTCCCACTATATATTATGACTTTAATGATCACAGATTTTGGGGTGAATCATATAAATCTGAAGGAAATCACTTCAAAGCCAAATTCAGACAACACTTCACATAGAAGGATATCATAATCACTCTCTATCTCTCTTAGCATAATCATCAAGGGAATCCGTGTCAAAATCCAGTAAAATGAACTCCACCCATTTTAGACTCTTCTTTGGGAATAAGTCATAGAACTATAATTATTTGGATATTCTAGATTCAATTATTTTTCCAGCAGTAAATTAATTACAAACGATGCCCTTAATAAATTGGTTTTTTTTTTACTTCTAACTAAACATAATATCTTGATGTCAAGAGATAAATAAACAGATTGGTGAAAAATCTCCCATGCATATTGTTCAAAATTCAGCACTTAAAGTTGAAAATAACAGATTGAAGCAGACCCAGGAAATTCTGAGTTGCTTCAAAAGAACCCAGCATAGTCAATGCTATCTCCTGAAAGCTATCATTTGTGGAATCCTTAACACAAAGTCCAATACCGCCAATTCCTATGTGCAACACACATGCAAAATTCCCAATCTGTCCTGGGTATCTAACACATAAGCACTTTATATTGACATTTGAATGGACAAGAAGCCTGACAAAACAAGAGAATTGTTCAGAGTTCTGCTTAGAATGTATACTAGAATTGAGACTTCTGGTGAATGCCATGCAGAGCCAGATGTCTTGCCAACATGGGATGGCATTTATCATGGAGATCATAGTTGGAGGCTGTATCTGCACTGGTAAAATCTCTCCAGAAAAAGGAGATATCATGAGATAATAACCCACATGTATTCTGGATAACCATTTCTCATGAGTAGACCACAGGGACCACAATTTTGCAGATGGTTTATGAGTTGAGTGGTTGGGAGTAGATGGGTAGATTACAGTTGTAATGCAGCCTTTTAAGGACAAAAGTTCAACAGAGTCTCATTTCTTAATCAATGTTTTGATTATCTTTTTACTGTTGCAGAAATAGTAAGACCCTTTTGACTGACAAATTTCTACTACATTCACTGGGTAAGTCTCTTTATCCTTAGTGAAGGAAGTGTTTTGAATATGAATTTAAGGACTTGAAAAAATGTTATTTTTGGGAAAATAGCAAAAAACAGAAGGATTTGAAATAGAACGTTCAAATTGATTATAAAATCTTTCCCATGGGAAACAGTGGATATTTACATTCCTTGAAAAAACATACAATGTAATAAGTTTGGTCTTTGAAGGTTGGAAACTTGAGGGCATCAAAAGCAAATAAAATAATGGATATACTGCAAGATGTGTGTGGAAAAAATATATTCAGCAGATCCTTTAAAAAAATTTTTTGTTGTAATTGAAAGGCTAGATGATGCTATGAAAGTGAAATAACTTTCACTGGAGAATGAATTTGACTTAAATATGGATTTAAAAAATGACAGTCTATAAGAAGGATATGTAGCAAGATGAACTGAACCTAGAAATAAAGCTACGTGATGTTTAATAATTAAAAAGGATATGAGAATAATAGGCCAAAAGAATGACTTGTATAATCTTTTTATACTGGATTTATAAGAGGGG